TTAAGCAAATAATATATTCAACATGTAAGATAACCATGGTGCATATTTTATTTCCTAAAATAAAGTACATCAGGCCCTTGGATCATGAAGCATCTTAAGCTTAAGACAAAATCTTTATGTTGTACTTAAATGTTGTGGAAGTCAAGCAGATCAAAATTTAAATATGTTTCAATATTGATTCATAAAAGTGTTGTTATTTACAAAATTTGATATTAATTTAATAATTAATAAAAATTTCACAGGTGATTGAAAATTTGACTTAAGTCCAAGTCTGTTTTATGATCCTGGGCCTAGGAAGGAAATAAACTTTAATACACAGTGCTCTCACTAAACGAGTACCTCTTTTCAACTTTTTAGCTCACCTGAGCAAAAGGCTCAAGTGAAGCTTTTCTGATCAAAATTTGTTCGTTGCCTACCGTCGTTGTCGTCGTCGTTATAAAATTTTCATCTTCTTCTCAAGAACCACTGGGTCAATTTCAACTAAACTTGCCACAAAGTATCCTTGTATAAAGGAGATTCAAGTTTGTTCAAATGAAGTGGCATGTCCTCTTCTAAGGGGAGATAATTATGAAGTAGCAAAAAATTAATGGCATATTTTAAAAATCTCCTTCTCAAGAACCACTGGGCCAGGAATGATGAAACTCATTTGGACTTATCCTCAGGTAGTGCAGATTTAAGTTTCTTCTAATCATGACTCCGGGTGAAGGACGGGGCCATAATGGCTGATCCAAGTTTTACATAGGAATATATAGGAAAAATCTTTAAATATCTTCTTCTCAAGAACAGCAAAGAAATGATTGGTGGTGAAGATTCAAGTTAGTTCAAAAGATGACCCCCGGGGGTATGGCGGGGCCACAATAGATGATCAAATTTTACATAGGAATATATATCTTCAAAAATTTTATTCTCAAGAACAGTGAAGTGATTATTGTCATATTTATTTGGAATCATCTGCAGATGGTGTAGATTCAAGTTTGTACAAATCATGACCCCAGGGATAGGGTGGAGCCACAATAGACGGTCAAGGGTTTAGATAGAATATACATGAATAGGAAATATTTTTCTCAAGAACATCAAAGCCATGGTTGGTCATATTTATATAGAAGCATCCTCAGGAGGTGTAGATTCAAGTTAATTTGTTAACAAGAGGCCCATGGGCCTTATAGGTCACCTGAGCATCATGCAACAACTTTTTCAAATGATTGACTTTGGTTCATGTTTTAAGCTATGGCATTCACAATTTTGAAAGAGGCACCATTGCTAATCATAATTATACATTAAGCAATTGTTTAGTTTGTTTATTTAATCATAATCAGGGTAGGGGAACAAAAATGCATGTCAACTAATCAGTAATGTTCAGCAATAATCAGGAGTGCCCCTATCACACATGAACCCCTGACCCTAGGTCTACACACTGCACAATTTTTGAAAAGGCACACTTGCTTATCACAAATTTTTTATTAATACCAAGGAGCAGATTTCAAACAATTCATTTTCAGTATATAAGTAGAGCCTCCCCCCCTTTGGTATCCCTGGTCCAGGGGCAATGAAATTCAAATTCTCAGGAAGAAGAGCCCTTGCTCATCATAACTATATAAATAGTTCATCTGCTTTTTACCAGGAGTAGAGAAAAAGATTTTCATAGATGTAATGTATTATCACTATATAATCATTATAGAGCCACGCCCCTACACCATAACCCCTAACCATGGGGTCATAAAATTCACAATTTGGTAGAAGCATTCTTGCTCATCATAACTTAACATCTTAATATCATCCTTAATTAGTTTATTTAATACCTAGAAGTAGAGAAGAAGCTTTTCAAAGAATAAATGCCTTTTTACTATATAATCAATATTCAAGTGAGCCCCACCTTAATTAACACCAGAACCCCTGACCCTGGGGCCATGAAATTCACAATTTTGGTAGAGGCACTCGTGCTCATCAGAACTATTTACTTTGTTAGTTTATTTAATACCTAGGACAAGAGAAGAAGATTTTGAAAGATTTAATGCATTTTCACAATATAGTCAATAGAGCCCCGCCCTAACACCAGAATCCCTGACCCTGGGGCCATAAAATTCACAATTTTGGTAGAGGCACTCTTACTCATCAAAACTACGTACTTAGTTAGTTTACTTAATTCCTAGGACAAGAGAAGAAGATTTTCAAAGATTTAATGCATTTTCACTATATAGTCAATAGAGCCCCGCCCTAACACCAGAATCCCCGACCCAGGGGCCAAAAAATTCACAATTTTGGTAGAGACACTCTTGCTCATCATAACTATGTACTTAATTAGTTTATTTGATACTCAGGAACAGAGAAGAAGATTTTCAGAGAAATAATGCATTTTCACTATATAATCAATACAGCCCCGCCCTAACACCAGAATCCCTGACCCTGGGGCCATAAAATTCACAATTTTGGTAGAGACACTCTTGCTCATCATAACTTTGTACTTAATTAGTTTATTTATTACCCAGTAGCAGAGAAGAAGATTTTCAAAGAAATAATGTATTTTCACTATATAATCAATACAACCCCGCCCTAACACCAGAACCCTTGATCCTGGGGCCATGAATTTCACAATTTTGGTAGAGGACTCAATGCTGATTACAATCATACCAACAGTTTGACTGCTTGTTGTCCAGGAGTAAAGAAGAAGATTGTACTAATTTTAGTGGTTTTTGCCCCACCCCCCAGGCCCCAGGGGGGCAGGGACCATGAAATTCACAATTTTTGTTCCCCTTCACCCATAGATGCTATATGCCAAATTTGGTTGAAATTGGTTCAGTGGTTTCAGAGAAGAAGCTGAAAATGTTCAAATGTTGACGCACGACGGACGACGACGGACGAAAAGTGATAGCAATGGGTCACCTGATTTTACTCAGGTGACGTAAAAATATGACCCCAAGGAGAGGGATTGGGCCACAATGAACGATCAAAGTTTAACACAGAAATATATAGGAAAAACCTTTAAAAATATTATTCTTAAGAACTTAAAGGCCATGCCTGATCAAATTCATGTGAAAACATCCACAGATAGTTTGGTTTAAGCTTTTCTCAAATTATGACCCTTGGGTGTAGAGTGGAGCCACAATGGACGATGAAATTTTAGCATAGAAGTATATAGGAACAATCTTCAAATGTCTTCTTCTTAAGAACACCAAAGCCTTGATTGTTGATATTTATGTGAAAGCATTCGCAGGTAGTGTAGATTCAAGTTTCTAAAAATCATTATTCCCTGGTAGAGTGGAGCAAAAATGGACGATCAAAGTTTAAAATAGGCGTATATAGGAACAGTTTTCTTCTGAAGAATAGCAAATCCATGGTTTGCAATTTTATTTGGAAGTATCCTCAGATAGTGTAGATTCAAGCTTGTTCAAAATGTACCCTCCTCCCCTTACCTCTTTTTTTATTTTTAAAGTAATGATAAATGACAATGATCTCATCTAGAATTTTGCCACTAATTGTTTTTGCTATCACCCACTTTTTGGACTCCCCCGTTCTGATGTAGTGTTTTATACTGGTCTCAGATTTGTGTCCGGAATTGAGCGTACTATGCCTTGCCTCAAATTTGTTTTCATCCAATAGAGTGGAATGTAGCGGCACGCAAAGAATGGTAAGCTTATTTTCATTTTTTCCCATTATGTTTTTGGGATATTTTATACTTGTCAACTTCCGTGTCTTCTCTTTTGATATAGGATGATGCCAAATTAATTTACAAATTGGCTGGGCACAGCTACAATGAAGCGTATCGAATTGGTAAAATTATCCGTTTGGATGAAACTTTCTGAGTCATAATTTGCATAATTAATTGAACGTCAATTATAGCATAATGACACGCCCATTTCTTTAGAAACGAAGAAGAAATATTCGTCGTAATGTTTTAGGACACCCCACTCTTCGCGACAAGCAACATGGGTTACAGCGAAATGGAGATTTTTAATTAAGACAGAGATTTAGAGAGTTCCAGCACAGATTCTGTCACTTCTGTTTTATTTTAAATGATTTCCATACTAGAGAGCCAACTACAAACTTAAATTTCAGACAAGGGCGATTATTTCAATATTTTCATAGCCATTTTTCCAAATTTATGTAGTAATATCCTGCTACATGTATCACCTGCATATGATATTTACGTCTTATTCGCAATTATAAAGCATGTTTCTAGTACGATCAATTCTTAAACTTAGTCCACCGACAAATGAATTCAATCTATATGGATTTCAAAATTGTTTGAAGTCAACATTTTGTTAATTGCATGGTCATTTTAATGATCTTGTGATCATCAGTGGAGCTACGGGACTACGGAATGTTCCGTGTGACCGGTTAATAGGGGATGCATACTCCTCCTGGGGTCCTAATCCAACCTCTAGAATTTCCAGGGTTTTATACCCTCTTTATAGAATTTTGTTGTCAGATGAATCACTCCACTTTTCAGACTTTTCTTCACCTTTTTAATATTAATTATTTCTATGTTAAACTATGATCATGACTTTCCTGTTCTTTGGAAGAAGATTTCTTCAAGACATTTCCTTTATATATCTATGTCAATCTTTGATCCTGTGTTGTGGCCTCACTCTGGGGATTAGGATTTGAAAAAAAATGTTTTGCTTACAAACGCAAATGTTAATAGCGATTGAAAGAACATTGTCGTTAGAGTTGAAATCACAGAATCTTCAATGAATTGAAAAAAATATGTTTTTATGTTTGTTTTAATAGAAATTAAAATTAAACAATGCAACTGTGTCCAGACCTCTTTCGATATATAACATATAATATCTAAAATATTTATGTTGCATTAATGAAAATTATTCTGTTAATAATTCTAGCTCAAACTTTTGGGATAACTATCATATTTGAACAGGATCGCATGAAGTAATAACGTAAGTAAAAAAAATTCTGGAATACGTTTTTTTTCGTTCATGGATTTCATTAGAAACATTATTAATCGTACATCATAAAAAAAACAAAAAAGACTTTCGAAACATCCCTTATTTTACTTTCCAACCCTTAAAACTAGACCAAGTTCCTCCTAAGTTATTTGCATGTGCAGTCCTTATGTTCACCTTGTCTCCAGCTTTCAGGACTAAGGGTACCGTATTTGCACAATTTTCATAACCCGGATTGGCTTCGTTATTACAGTTTCCGTATCCTTTTTGGACTCCATTTACAAGAATTTGAGAATCAAAAATTTTTTTCACATCAACAAAACTTGTCCAAGTAAACAAGTAGAGTCCGCCAGATGGCGTAGTAAAGAATCCACTATGGGGATTGTACGCATTTCCGAAATTGTAATAAACACCGTCATATACAATATTGACAGGAGTGTCTCTATGTAGATGTAATCTTTTGGTTATGTATGCATTAAAGGCGATCATAGAGTTCTCTACAACAAAGAACACAACAAAAAATAAAGGTGATGTGAATACTTAGTGTTACGAATTTCCCCCATGACCAAAATAGCCCACAGATTGGATCACCCCAATTTATGCCCTAAATATTTAATCTAGGAATCGTAAATCAATTTGTAGATATCATGGGAATATTACCAATCATCGTATGTTATTAATGTATGCTTTAGAATTCATTGTATATGTTTATTTCATGGATATCCTTTCGTTTGATGTACAAACCCGAATTTCCTCCATAAACCAGTCCAATCATAATAGCAAATGACCGTCTGGCATTGTTATTCAATCAAGGTACCCAAATCCAACTTGGCATCGTTACCAAAACAATTCCCAAACATCAGATCATCCCTTTTCCCGCAATTGTAATGATAAAGTCTTTACTTGGTGCAAAAGTTGTTAGTGTTACCATACAAACGTCGCGCGAATACTGGCGGTACCGCTGGACATTCGCACGTGAACTAATTCGGCCGTAGTGATGAAAAGGCAGACTGGTATTGCCTGTCTTTACCGTACGCAGGAATGTATATCAGATATCAGACAGGCAGGCCAGTCTAATGAAAAGGTATATAAAAAAAGGCACTTTGGACTTTTTCTTCAGTCTGGGACGTTGATCAGACTCATTAACATCTGACAAGCTCAAAGAATCCCAACTCCCCATAATTGGGTAAAATCTGATGCCCCCATATTGGGTAAATTAACCCATTACCAATATTGGGTAACCCAATCTGTCAATCCCCAGCAGATCCATACCCAATTGATTCATTGTTTATAAATTCATTCGGGTAACCCGTTAGACCCGGATACCTTTTTATTGTCGGGTAACCCATAATTTATTATTGCCTAATTGCCAATTGTTTTATTGTTATTTGTTATTCATTGTTTTCACCATAATAAATTTTATAAATTTACAACCTGACTTTTCATTTAGAGTTTAAAGGGTAAAATTCAGAAACAGGAGACCCACAATAATTTATTTTCATTGTAACAAACCCTGAGACAGGCGTAAAACGTTACATTAGCTCACTAAATGATACCCTGCCTCCATTTTGATATGATGGCAAAGTCCATGTTTTGCTCTGGGATAAAGTCTCAGACGTAACATAGGAGGTTCTTAGTGGCATTATGTAAATTAAAAAATCTGTGAACGTCTCATTATATTTTTTTCAGTGTTATAGGAGGACTCGAGGAAAAGAGATGAATACCTTTTAATATTAGAGAAAGGATGGCAGTGTCTGTGTTTTGTTATTAGAAACCTAAAATATGTGTCGGATCAAGCAGTTAAATAAGAGGTGCAAATTGGCAACATGTAGCAGGGATTTTGTGAAAGTCTCATTAAATTTTATCCTGTGGTATAAAAAGAGTTTCGGATAAGAGATGGATACACTAAAGCGTAACAGACGGACTGGCAGACGGACGTACAGAAAGAAAGACGCCAACATAATCCTTTTTGAGGCGGGGTATCATTTAGTGAGCTCACTGCTCGCCTCTAATTTTCAAATTAAAATCCGTTTTTTCATCCTTTAGAATTTGCATTTTCAACATTTCATTTTTATAAAAATGTTAGTCTAAAGATTCAACGAATGGATTTTATTTCCTACCATTAGTTTGCGGATTTGGACTCTTCACACATCTGTATTTGACCTCCAGATATTTGGAATAATCAGGACACGGGTCTCCAAAGTACTGATCAGCAGCATGAAAATGACATGTCTGGTACCCATTACAGTTCCATTTTACCTTGAGTTCTGACGTCTTTGAACGACAGGTGTTTGTATCAGATTTACTTCCCGGACACACCTGTTTGTCTGTTCGTCCGTAATTGGCGGATAAGATCTGAATCTTGGTACCTCTCCAACAGCGTATGAAGCCTTTTTGACCTCCACACAGGGCAAAGGACTGATCTAAGTTGATAAGTTTATGTTTCAAAATATATCACAAAATCTATAAATCTAAATTATCAGAACTACAAAATACATTCTGGGTTTACATGAAGCCTTCAGCTCTTTGGTCAATGCTACAAGAATCAAAACGCAAACTCGGGGAAAATATGTCATCTTTGACTTTGCTAAAAAAAATTGAATAAAATACTAGTAACTACAATCAGAAGAACAAACGGTTTAAAATACAATATGCTGTCATACCTTGTTAATTTAAGTAATATATTAATTTTTATTGCTGTGTGAAAAACTTTACCTACCTAAACAATGTCTTGTAGAATCAAGAGACAAAAATTTGCAAAAACTAAAAATCTCTCTCTATATATACAATAATTATCGTGCCGAATTGCACCATATGTTACTTTCGTGTCAGAATATAATTCCATGAGAAGTGTTCACATGATATAGACATCAATATAATGTGTTGTTTTCTATTTCAAAAAAATAAAAAATATTGTTATGTTTTCCATTTCCTAATGACTTTTACCTGTTAGCAATATTTGTTGTGCAATTTTCTCACACTTGTTTTTATCTCCTGTAAACAGTGATTGCGATAAAGATATATCAAAGAGTAGAAAAAAAAATGAAAATATCGAAAAAATGAGAAAAGGAGAAATAATTGATGAAATCTAATTCTTCTAAATTTTAGATGTATTTAATACCGTACGTGAAAGAATAGTTAAGGACATAAACATATAGGTAGTCACTGTTCCTTTGCCGAGCGCTTTTATTAATTTACTTGACTTCTTTGCGTTTTCTTCATGTTTTTCTTTCTTTGTGTCTTCTGCAACTTTAGTCACCAATGCAAGCGTAATCAAGCAAAATTGTTTTGGGGGAACCCCTTGTCACAAATTTATCAATTTTTGTTCGTACATGTAGATTAATCTAACCATCAATAATGAATCTATGGACAACCAATCAGTAATTACACAAATAAACCCTAATAACATTTTATTACTTTTTGAAAGAAGGTGGCAAAGAATCAAAAACCTGCTGTTTAAAATAGAAATAGATCTTAACATGGT